AATGAAAAAATAATATCCGTTCCTCTTGGTTTTTGTAACTCAGAACTAACAACTTGAATATCTTGACACATCAAAAGGTCATGTGTCCTATTAGCCTATTCATTATTATATATCAGGTTTATAGTTTAGAAGAATGAGTAGTCTTGGTAAATATTCTAGGTACTCTGCTACCGTATTTTGGCAATAGATTTTTAGAATTAAAGTGACTATATAGTTTAAAAAATTTTTTAAATCTATTTATGTATTTCCACTGGAAGTTAATTTTGACAAACAGAGAAAAATGTTTCATATTTCAAGTTTCAGTTTTCGTATTTAGGGTTTTTGGAAGAGTAACACTTACATTTGATAGTCTTTACTAAGTTGCCTTTATAGAGTATTATCACGAGTAACTTCTAGTCACAAAACTATGTCAAGAAGACCACAAATACCAGTTTCAAGTGGTATTTCTTGATATTAGTACAGTTCTTTCAAATGTTATATATTTTCCTTAATTATTATCTGCTGATTATCTTATATCTTACTTTCTATCAACTAATTCTTTCTTCCTATACTATATCCTTATATACAATCTTTCTTTTATATATTACCACCATTGAATTAACTACTTCTATGAATTTGGTATTCATCTTGTTGTGCTAATAAAGTGTGGCAACTTGAACCGATGCAAATATGTGCCTGGTTGTACGTTGTAGCTAACTGATCTGCTGATAATAGTAAGAGGTATTGAGAAATAGGATTTCATCAGTAAATCAAAAGTAGATTAAGGATCAAATGCCAATTAAACGACACTTTTATTTGTTGGAATTGATTAAGTATTGATCCAACCAGGATTGCCAGTCTCGTGCGCAAGATCATGAATCGATTGAAGTTAGACATTAACACCGTCGAGTCCCGGCTCAGTGATTTAGTTGGCTAGGCGCTTGACGCGAGACTGATGGGTCCTGGGTTCGAATCTCGCGGGGTGCGGGATCGTGGATGTGCACTGATAAGGGGTCGTACAGTAGGAGGAAATGGCCGTCCGGTGTTCTCAGGTTTTTCATGGTGGTCTAGCTTCAATTGATTCATGATTTCAATCAGTGAAGTTTACTGATTTGTTGAGTTGTGGAGCAGTATGAGTTTATTAACCAGTTGAGGCTGTTATCTGTTAATTCATCGATGTAAACCATAATAATTTAACTAATATTTATAGTCCCGACCGTGGCTGATACTTTCATACGGTGGTCTAACCACTCAGTGGAGCTTTATTATAAGAAAAGTTCGTTCCTTGAGATCATACCATATCAAACAGGTTGGCTGGATAGTGGTAAGATAATAGTCAGCAAATCGGAATTCCAGGAGGAAGTTGCACTCTGAATCATGCATGGATGCTGAAGGAGTGAAAATTTTCCCATGAATAGTCATCACCTTCAGTGGTACTTTCTTCATGCCATTGACGGGAGACATTGAAAATATCCATCCTGAAATAGTAAATCTCGTCTTTCTATAACGTCTGTTCGCCACAGTCGTAAGTTTTGAAAAGTATAGATCTGGTGTAAAGTAATCAGCCATAAGTAGTTGTTTTGTGGTCTCTGCGTTCAAACACAAGGTTTTACTAGATCACCACTATCAAACCATTTTTGTTTTCAGATCTTTCGTGGAGAAATTTCCTTCCACGTTATAAAGTACTAAAAAGTGTATACCACTAGCGCACTCCTAAATACGTTCGATTTGTGTATAAACTGAAACCCACTCCTTGCTTTCTAATGTTTTTTATACTCCCATCACTGATGCTAATTTTCTGGTTTGTTTTTATCTTTTGCTAATAACCAATGCTAACGATCCCATATTATGAAATGTTATCCCTGATCTCTTTACACTGAACTTAAAGCTATATTTTAAAGCTACTATTATTCAAACTCCGTGTCAAATTGGACATTAAGATTAACTATTTAAGATGGTTGGCTCTTATACCTTTGATATCTAGAACTTGAACGTACTTATCTACTTGAACTCGCCAAAATGGGTAAAGAACCAGCGCTAGGAGCACTTGTTGTATTTGGAGACTGGAAAAGATCTTGCTGTGGTCTTACCACCGTAGGGAGAGCAACAAGCTTGAGAACTAATTCTGGAATGCATGTTTACATTCCGAGCACGTATTTGTCCGTTTCTTATTTGACTCGGAAAAAACCTAACATGAAGATGTCCTCAAGCCTTATTCAGAAATGTAAGGACAAATGTTATGTTTACGATAGAATTAGTTAAGCATCTAGTCCATCATGGAAGAAACATTCATCTTTAGATAGGATATCGTGATTCACTGTCTATTGTAAAAACAGCATTGACATCTGTTAGCTGACCAAACAGAAAGTTATAGGAAAGCAAAAGGATCTCAGAATCTTCTACTAAGTTGGTACATGCTTAGCAGTTCATTGCGGAGGGCTCTAAACATTATATAAACTAGAGAAACATACATATGGACTAACGAAAAGTTCATCAAGTGTTCGTCAGCAGTGGTGTTTACGAAAGCAAAGGTAGCTGAAAAGACATCAGCACTAATACTAGTATTACTGCATAAAGAGGTTGAAAAAAGTCAGGTATTAGTGAAATCATCTCTTGAAAGGATAGAGCCTTTATATACTCTCAGACTGGGCGAATAAAATGGTAGGCAGAGTACTTCAAGAGACATTTTCAACTGGCGCTTATATACTCCTCATTTACCCACAACTTGTCTACGACCTGAATATTAGATCAGTATCAGACCTTAGAAAAGTTGTGAAAGCCACAATCGAATGAAATTAAGTAACGTCAGCTTGTCCTTATGGGTTAGCTTTGGAGGTTTCTCAAGATAGTAGTCCATTTTTCGTAGTCGGGTTAATCAAGATGCCACCTAGAGTCTGAGAGATGGTTGACTGGTTCGATTCTCCCAAAACAAAAATAATAATTAGATGATGGTTGGAGGTAGTCAACAGGAAACCCTGGACCCGGGTTTCGTGCTACTTGGCACTCGTCAGCAAGGTGTACCTGTAATCTTGAGGGAACTGGTGCTCCCTGGCGGATTCGATCTCGTGTCACCCAGCTTCACAGTCAGAGACGTTACCACTGAGCTATCCGAGTCACCTAGACTGGTGGCCACATTGCAACATGATCGATAGCATTCGATCTGCACTAATAAAGACTAGACAAGCATGAGATTGATCACCACCCAGTGATCAATCAATTGCAAAAATAATAATTTTCATGAATATTTTCAAACTAGGAGATTTTAGTCGTATCAATGTTTTACAGTGATAACAGTATATTTAACATCAATCTAGATTGAAATACTTGTATATAGTGTGAACAATAAAGCTAGAAGATAACATAATTATGGGATAATACTAGTTATGTATGGAGAAAAATCTATTTAGTAAAATGAGTTAAGATCAATAGCGTGAAATCATATGAATTCATCTTTTTAAAAATAGACTGAACCATATGTCGAAGTTATTGTAAATGAATAAAGTTTAATGCGTATTTGAGAACACTTTATAAGAAATGGGGGGATGATAGATGTTTCGGTTGCTAACATATTTGAGTAAAACGGGTAATGCATTAATTGTTCAAGGAAAATGAATATATCAATTTTCTTCCAGTTGATGTGAGCGGAACGTAATTGTGGACCTTGTGGTAGGTCATTCACAATCAATACAGCTTCGTTTTTCTTGCTGTGATATTCACTATATATCATTAGCAAAAATGGGTTGTTAGTAGATTTGATCACTTTTTTTTTCCGACCATGCAAGTACATTTTCATCAGCTTATAAGAATAAGACCCTTTAAATATGACATGTGTCTAGCTACACATATCAATTAAACTCATATGCACAATATAATGTATTACTAAGTTTCACTTGAATTATTCTCATTGTAGAGTAACTCTATGGTTATGATACCTTAACTCTACTTTAAAAAAAGGAGAAATCTATTAAAATGTAACTTAACTATTTTACATCAAATTTTAATGCTTGAAAAGATTAATCTAAAGAAGTACAAAACATTTTTTTAACCACTATTCTTAAACTGACACGCCAGACCGATAGGTCTTGTGTTCGAATCTCACTGGATGGGATCATGGATACGCACTGCTGAAGTATCCCATACTCGGATAAAATGACCATCCAGTTTTTCCAGTTTCATGAATTCAACTACTAAACTATTAACATGTAAAAAGAGAACTTTATTATGATTTAAATTCACTTGGTATTGTTTTACTTGTATCTTCCTATTGTTATTTGAGACTGCAATTGATCAGTCTCATGTTGGCATATGTACATCTTGTGCGGATTGCCTCGATATATCCTTAAATCACAAGGATTTTAAGCAAAGATGGCTAGTGGCCAGCATTGAAATCCGGGATGTACGTTTCTGGGTTTGAGTTTCGGAGTGAACATCAACTCTGGGATGCAGGTACATGCAGCTGATGAGTCCTAAATAAGATGAAAAACACATCCTGGATTTCATTCCTAACCACTATCCATGTTTGTTTATTATGATTTGTATCTGTTGTTTATAGTTAAATCTATGTTACATTATTAAAAAAATACATAATGAGCTTTTATATATTTTGTACCATTCTCTTATTTCCGTATTAAAAGTGTTTTTTTTTCCTCATTTTTTGTTGTTGTTTCTAGCCGGAAATATATTCCAATAGATTCAAATGATAATTATTCAATAAAATTTGTAAATAATTTCTAATTTGCAAATTGATCCTCTCAATTCAATCTTATTGATCGTTGAAAAAGTCTGTTTTTTTTTCGCTGAGAGAGAAAGAGGGAGAAGGTGGGGGTGGGGAAGAGAAAAAAAATCTTTACTCAAATTTTATTATTTTTCCCAAAAAGATTTTTTATATATTTTTTTAATGTTCCATATGAGAATTGATCATTTCATGAAGAATATTACTGAAATAATTTAATAAATCATCATCATGTTAACAAAATTGATCATAATTTGAAAAAAAACATTTCTATAACCAAATTCTCATAATGAAATTACAATCTGTACAGAATACATCGAAAACAAGTAAGAGCATTTATTTCTTTTTTTTTGTATTTATATAATCAATATATTGATTAATTGTATTTTGAAAACATTTTGTCTTGTTGTTATATGTAAAGATGGATAGTGGTTAGTAGTGGAAACTAGGATGCGCGTTTTGTCCTATTTTGGACTCGTCTTGAATTTAATTTTCACTTCATTGTACAAGCAAATGGCTATTAGGATTCAGTAGATAAGTGGAGAATGTGATGGCGTTTGAAGCGAACAGTACTGGGTTTGAGTTCCGGAGTGAACATCAAATCTGAGATGCAGGTACATTCAGCTGACGAGTGACGAATTAGAATGAAATACACGTCCTGGATTCCACTGCTAGCCACCATCCATCATTGCTTACAAAAAGCTTGTGACTTAAGGCTTTATCGAAGCAATCTGCACAATATGAACATATACCAATAAGAGACTGATCAATTGCAGTCCTAAACATCAATGGGTAGATTCAGACAAACATTACTAAGTGAATTTTTTTTGTTTTTTTTATTGCCTCAGTTATTATGGTCTTAGACATATATATATTACTCTTGAAGTGAAGTTTCATTATCATCTTCAATAGGCTGTGATGATTAAGGCTATTTGTGAGATTCAGCAAAGTATTTGGGTGAGATTATAATTTATGGACCAACCAATCAGATCTAAGATAACGAGTCTAAGGTTTTGGAGCTAAATTTATTCATACATTTAGCTAAGTAGAGTTGTGACGTCATAGCTGTTGTTAGTTCGTGATGAAAACCGTAAAACTAAATCCTAGCCCTAACCATCAACTGTAAATAATAATTCTAATTACTTACGCTGGTTTATAACCCTCATTTAGTCCTAGTTATTGGGTGAACGTTTTCAAGGTTAACCTAGTGTCGCTCAAAGATCGTCCATAAATTATAGTCTCACCAATATTTGAAATGGTTAGTTTGAACAATGTAACATTTAGGCGTTATCTCTTATAAAAGGGTTCTGGCTTCGCACTGTTATGAAGTTTCATTTGTAATTAATTTTATGTTATCACAATCTATGGTAGAGTAGAAAATCCTCGTAAGCTACTAGTAGTTGACTACAGATACTTTGGAAATATTGCTGGCGTCTGCTGGGACCACCGGGTAAGTAATAGTGAGGTTAGACGCAGGGTATTATGGAATGATGGTATATCAGTTGATGAGGTTGTGAATCTACATCGACTGATAGGGTTGAGCCACGTGTTATGTATGCCTGAACACCGATTACCACGATGTGCAATGTTAACCGGTGTTGGATATGGTTGGAAGAAAGTTAGGGGCGGCCAAACCAAAACGTGGCATCAGTGCTTGAAGTCACTAAATTCTAGTCTTAGCAATGTTGAGAGATGCAGACTACTTGGTTGGGTTCCGCGTGACTATCAAGTCTCTGGGTGAAATGGCTCAGAATCGATCACAATGGCGTAGGTGTAAACACTCTCAACCATCCCTTAAACTATGAGATTAAAATCGCTTCATATCTTTCTTTCTACCAACTAATTCTTTCTTCCTGTACTATATTTTTGTATATTACTACCATTGAATTAACTACTATGAATTTGGTGTTCATCTTATTGTGCCAATGAAGTTTGGCAACTTGAACCGATGCATATATGTTCCTAGTCATACGTTATAGCTAACTGACTGACTCTTTCATTACCCCCCCCCCGGCACTCAACTACTGTGAGACTTCGTTCAGTGATTTGAAGGTTAAACTCGCCCCACAAGACTTGGAAGTCATGGGCTCTAACCTTGGTGGGGTTGTGGATGTGCACTACTGAGGGGACTTAGACTGAGACGGGATAACGTTTTAGTTCCTCCTGGTTTTTAATGGTTGTCTAGCCTAAGTCACTTCATGATCTCAAGAACATTGAGACAAACTGTTAGTGTACCTAATGAAAAAAGTAATTTTGGGGAGTTTCTTGGATTCGGTGTATTTGTGAATAATCTAAACTCATAATCGTCAACCGAGCATCCAAATATTCAATTCTAAACGCTTAGATTTATCATCTAATCAGATTTATTGTATTATTTTTCCCAAATAGACGATGTAATGAAGTAATAAATCTGTGACTATAGGTTATTTTATGAGAACTATGGGTAAGAACAAATTGACACACTTCAAAATTAGTAGCCGTATTGATCATTATTTAGAAAGCAACTGAAAAAAGTCACAACAAATAGGTTATATCTATTTGAATAAACCAATTGTAGCATCAATATTTATAAAATAGATTCAGTTCTACCGATACCAACAGTGAACTCATGAATGACCTAGTGGGTGTATATAGTTTTTTTTCAGATGTAAAATGACATTTTTAAGGTTGTATGTAAGTAGAATGTTTGTTGATTGATAAGTCTTCTAAATGAATGCTCGATTAGATCTCCTAGCCTCTCTTAATAATCCTAGACTGAATCTACACGGCAATTTTGAAAACATGAAAAAAGGCGTAAAAACTAGTGATCAGGATTTATTTGACTCTAAACAAACCAAATTGATTTATGAGTACGTCACTTTTTATATAATTTATTTACAGTTAGATTAACAGTCAGATTTCTGTAAACTGGACTTAGTTCCATTCAATAATAATAATAATAATAATAATAATAATAATAATAATAATAATAATAATAATAATACTGCTACTACTACTACTACTAATAATAATAATAATCTAACAAGTTACTGTATAAATGCATGTTTACAATATTATAAGATTAAGCATCTATAAACCTCAATATGTAAAAAAAAACAATTTTATATGTCGTTAACATGCCACTTGATAAAGCTGTTACTCACCATATCATTGATCATCAGTGTAAACATTATTAATTAAGTATAGATGGCTTCATTTATTACCATATGCAGTAATATAAACAGTAGCATGACAAATAAACTCAATATGACGAATCTAACAACATTAGAAACATTTAATAGTAGAAAGTGGACATGCTTTCGGAAAATACAATTAACCACACAGCAAACACCTATTAGTTTTAAATTCAGTTTTATAAATTGATATTGTTTTTATGAATGTTCTAATACTGAAGTTTTCAGGAGGAAATACGACTTCTGTTCATTAAACATAGGATCTTTACAACCTTGAAAGTTTGCTTGATCAGAACAACTGTGCGAGACGCTTGAGATTTTTATGAACTGCAAAGCAAGTTCATGCATTATTGAAATTAGTTTAAGTAGTTTTCACCTCCTAAAGTACATCCCACAGTAGTTATATTTTCATCTTAAATTTGGTATGTTAATTCTAGAAATAAAGAAATCACAAAATCAAGTGCACGTCGGATCCTCGAAAATGTACTTTTTTTTAGAATTCCAATATAAAATACTTGATCTGATAATCGCTCTCTCCATTTGTAGTAGTCACCTGTAAAATGACTGTACAGACTGTAAACTGTATTTTGTGAATAGATTTAGTTTTTTAACAACTACTCTTTAAGTTTTATAAGCAAAGATGAATAGTGGCTAACAGTGGAATCCACGACGCGCTTTTCGTCCTATTTGGGAATCGTCAACATCAACACTGAGATGCAGGTACATCCAGCTGACGAGTGCCGAAATAGGATGAAATACACGTCCTGGATTCCACTGCTAGCCACTAGCCAACTTTACTTATAATGCTTGTGACTTCAAGCAATATCGAGGCAGTCCGCACAGGATGCACATATACCAATAAGAGACTGATCAATTGCAGTCTTAAATAACAATAGGAAGATACAAGTAAACAATACCAAGTGAATATACTTACAGAGTTGTTTTTGCAATTATGTTATCGGGTATATTCCAATTATCTCTGCATTATATATTACCAAACTATGTACTTATTTTAAGTCTGTTTAGTAAGTTATAAGAGCACAGTATTGGTTCTGTAGTGAATAAGAACACCAGTGGGGACAATCGAATGTATATAACACAAAATTACAGGACTTGTTAATAAAATATAACAATCATTAAGTAAATGCTTAATTTGCAAAATGTCCACCAGTTGTCTCAAAATGACTCAGACTTCATTGTTGTTACATTTCCATACAAATTGCATCCTGTTTCCATTCTTTACTGTTCGATCCTCTTGTCTCTCTGCTGTCAGATCTTCTGTTCACGACTAACATCATATACTACTTATGTCAATATAAGTAGCACACACCACAGTTCTACTTCAAGTTAGTTATATTTCACTTCATATTATAATGGAGAATTGTAATTTGTTTATGATTATGTAATAGTGTGATCAATTGTTATAAACAATTTGGATTATGGCTGATTGCATAAAAAAGACTCAATTCATGAAGTTTGTCACTAACTTAACAAAGTATATGAAGACAAAGTAAACAAACAAAAGCTTATTACGAGATGGTTGAGAAGATTTGTAGCTCAGGTGAATTATCTTGATTGAGTTTCGTTCTCTGTGCTCAGAGAACAAAACACCATCAAAAACTTATTTCCTTTTAACAGATTAACATACGACACAGAGAATGTTTAATATATCACATTATCATTGAAAACATTCATACATTTATAAGTCTTATATCATTTTAAGTCACTAACCAACCAATAGAATATGAATTGAACTTTAAAACTTATTTCATTGTTGCTTGATAATTAGGACAACATTACCAAAAATTAAAGCTCATTTTTGTTTTTATCATCAGTGTTAATTAATGTTCTCATGTAATCACAAAGAGGATCTATAAATCAATAGTTTATCCCAAAGTAAATATTAGAAAGTGTAAATTATTTAAATCCATTTAAAGAGAGGTTTACAGACCTAATGTTTACATTTGATTATAACAGAATATTTCAAAATATAGTCACCTTAGAAACATATTTCTTATTAATTCTTATTATTATATTCTTTATACTTCACAGATATTATGAGAAAAAAAAGAGAACGTAAACATCGAAGTAAAATGTCTAATACTGTGACATTATCATCTTGTTTGCTATTGTCTTCATCTTTAGACCAAACGAAAACAGTAGATGATGAATTGAGTGAGAAACGTGTTAATCTAAGAAAAGAACGATCTCGTTTAGCTGCACAAGTTAGACGTAATCGAGAAGGTCAAAGTTTAATGCTAATACAAAATGCTCTACCAATATCTTCTCATGTTTTAGGATTAAATTTAGTTCAACAAAATTCAAAATCATCTAGTTCGATCAATGGAACGAAACAAATAAATCAATCATCAGAAAATAATAATGTAATTAATTCAGGTACAATTGGACGTGGACAAAAGAAGACTATCTATTTTAATTCATCAGTGTCAAACACAATGACAGGATTTTTAACTACAACATCAACAGCCACAATTACAGAAATACCGTCATCTACAATTTCTAATATACCATCGGCTATTAATTTAGAAAAGACTAGAGTACTTCGTATTGCTGGACATACATTATTTCTTCTTAACAAATTGTCTTCCTGTAAGTTATAATGGTTATAGTTAGTAGAATACTTAATGATCTTTCCCCAGGTGGTCTATATAAGTATTGATTTCTGTTGAAGAATAAGGGTGTAACTATAAAAGTACATACTAGATTATTTTCTAGTTGTATATTCTGTAATCGTCTTTTTATGTATGACTGATATTCAAATATTGTTGAAGTGATATCGAGTTAAAACATAAAGTTATAATTTTTAATCGTTGAATTCATGAGTCAATTAAAGCTAGACAGGCATGGAAAACCTGAAGGCACTGGACGGCCGTTTCGTCCTACTATGGGACTCCAGCATTGCACATCCATGAACTCGCACACGAGGTTCAAACCCAGGACCTTAGGTCTCGCAAGCGAACACTTAACCTGTAGACCATTGAGCCAGCATCCGACGGTGTTAATGCCTAACTTCAATCAATCCACTACAATATTCACAAACCCCCACCTTGATAAAATTATAATATTGTTTATTGAAACTTTGAAGATATATTTCAATTTCAAACTAATGATACGTTTATATTATTTCTACAACACAGAATTATTATGTTGCTTTGGAGCAAATACTTTGGTTATCATATATGATAAGGCTAAAAAAACACGTTGTAGATGGTAATCAAAACATAGAGTTGAAAGATTCTAGCAGAATAGCATGAATTTATTTTATTTTGTTTGATTTTCGTCAGCTGCTTACTGCCTGTGATATTTAAAATCATAATTATCCAATGGGTTTAAATTATTTACATGAAAGAGTCCAGTTGGAAGTTATTTTAATGAAACATCAGTATAGTATAGCAAGGGTGTGAATAAATTCTGCTAGAATCTTTGATTTTGCTGTCTTCAAGATGATAAAAGGAACTATGTGTATGAAACATAGAGTTTAATTTGAATTGTATAGGTTTAAGAATGAAATCAATGAAAGTTCTTTTTGTTAACTTCCTGTCACTGGTTGTGTTTACGAAGTATGTTGTTCTGAAGCACAATTTAATGAAATAAATCGATTTCGCCGTGGTAAAAATGTAGTGCAATACATGTAGCATAGCAGATTTTCTAAAGACCCAAATAAATAACTTTACCGAAATCACTAACCGATCTAAGTTAGTCAACCGCTGAAAATCTGGTAACACTGGAGGATCGTGTCTTCCTTTCATGGAACTCAGAAGTGGGCACCCGTTACACCTTAACCACGAATTGAAGTCAAGGCCTTCGTTCTCATGATAGAACACACCCTTTAGATCACTAAATTGGGATCCGATAGTTTACTAGTCTTAAATCAATCCACGATACTGTACGACCGTTTTCTATTGTTTTCGGAGGTTACCTTTCTCATACCCGACACGAATGAACTTCACTGATCACGGTTTCTCATTAGAACTCCGAAATTTTTTCTCGAAGTGATTCACTAGTGAATAAATAATTATTACCAGTATGCAGTTGTGGAGTTTATTGAAGTTCATTTCATATTGATCCCACAAATATTTATTTATATAACTTCATCGATCCGAACTAGGAAGTATAAGTTCCTCAATACAGTAATAATCAATCAACGATAGCTTCATGAACTTGTAGAGCAATTAGAACAACGTGCTGCAGCCTATGCTCCTTCATGAGGAGTAACAGGCGTAAGTAAGTAAGTAAGTAAGTACTGCTACTTCAAACTACATTGCACTACAAATTTGAATCGTTGAAATTACTCTCAAGAAATTTATTATTTATGTACATAGATTCATCAATACATTAGTTTACTAAATAAATTCTTCATCTTATTTTTTTTAAAATCTTTGTTCATTTATTCAATTATTGAAAACAATTTAGATCTTAGATTACAAGCAAAACTTTGTTTAACTTTAAATAGTCAATCATTGTATGGTATGTTGATTGATGCAAAAGAAATGAGAATTGCTTATGTAACACCTGCTTTAGCTAAAGCAATTGGTTGGTCATGGGTAAGTTTTGTTGATTAATTTCATTACCTGTTTTTTTTTCTCTTATTAGTTTATATCATACTATCATGTGGATTTTAATACTGTTATGTTATATGTGCATTTAATGTTATAGTAAAGTACATTATAAAGTTCAGATTCTGTGATTATTTCAGGTAAGAATTAAAAGTATCTTTAGCTGAAAACAAAGAATAATTACTCTAATATCTTAATTGAAGATGTTGCTAAACTAATTCATCCTGACGACCATTAGACATCTTAACTGTGATCCTAGGAATGTCTAACCACTAATTACTTAATCAGAATGTAGACTCTATTGAAGAATTGTGTTCTAAGAAGCAAGAAAATTACAATGGATATGATTTTAACATGATTAATGAATTTATTGAAGGTACCAATGGATTTATTAAGATAGAAATCAAAGCAGTTACTAAACGACGATTCTCCTTTATGGCTACAAATTAGTCCCTCTCTAATTGAACGTACTTCTTTAATATTTTTCACATTGTATCAACGTTATTAGGGTGTTTGCTCGCTAGATAATCTACAAAATACTGTTTTTAATCAAACACTCGATGAACATAACATTGCTTCTGATTACACCAATAAACCCTCCAATAGTTCATGTAAACTGTTTTACCAGGTAGAACACACTGTCTTATTACAGGTAGAAATGTTGGTGACTTTCTATTTGTAATTCACTTAAAATGGACTTTCTGCAATGTTTTATAGATCAAATGTCTAGTTAATAATAAGTTAAAATATGTTAAATTTGCATAGTGAAACATAGTTCGGTTTGGTCGTGGAGCTTTCATCGTTCTTCTGAACGACATCATAAGCACAAACCACAGAGAACAAAACTCCATCAAAATCATCTACCTGAGCTACGAATCTTCTTCACCATCTCAAAATGCGATTTAACCCATCACCAATCTATGAAGTTCACTAACTGGTCGTTGGATTTCCAGATGACGATTTGTCACAAATTACTCAACCAACAGTTCTAGGTACGATCCCCGGTGAAGTCGTGGTTAAGCACTGAAAAGGAGTCTCACACTAAAACGTGTCAGCTGTTCAGGGATCCTCGATTTTCCTTGGCGGTTTAACTAAGGTCCGTTACTTCCCTACTTACTTATACCTGTTACTCTCAGTGAAGCATAAGCCGCCAACCAGGACTCTCCAACCAACTACGTCCTGGGCTCTCCTTTCCAGTTATTTCCAAGTGTTATTTATTTCTGCAGTGTTCCCCTCCGATTCCCAACATAATATATTCTTTGGTCTTCCTGTTTTTTTCTTTCTCTTCCGGATTCCAGGTTAGGGCGTGCCGTGTGATGGGGTTTGATGATTTTCTCAATGTCTATCTTATCCACCATTAGCATCTTTTCCTAATTTTTTTTCCAGCCGGAAGTAGGTTCGCTTGCTTCCATAGTGGGTTGTTGCTAATGGTATTCGACAAAAGACATTGATTATCTTGTGTAGACAATCGTTTATAAATGTTTGTAACGTTTTAATGACGGATGTGGTAGTTCAACACGTTTTAGCTCCGTACAACAGAACTGTTTCGACGTTTGTATTGAAGATTCTGACTTCGATGTTGACTGACAGTTGTTTTGTGCCCCATGTGTTCTTCGACGGAATGAATGCTGCAGATGCCTTACCAATCCGTACCTTCACATCTGCATCAAATCCCCCTTGTTTATCGATGATGCTTCCCACTCTTGATTTGTCTGTTCACCATGCTGACTTATTTGATGGGGCGTGGGGCGACATCTAAATGAAGGTCTGTAGGTGCTGCTTCGATGTCTGGTGAGTTCAGTTGGGCTGGTCAACTCAACAGTTCTCCAAAGTGCCTTATCCACCTATTGTACTGTTCTTGAATAGCAAGGACTGACTTTCTCTCTGTTACTGACTGGTCTCTCTGGTTCACTATGTTTCTCTGCTGGGATTTTCGTCTTATCATGTAGTCGTTCCGTATTTCATTCTCTTGCAGCTTCTTCTGCTGTCACTTTTGGGTCTTCCACGTAATTTCTCTTGCAGTCTCTAATTCCCCCTCTTCACCCTCATTTTTGACTCTCTCTCTTCGGACTGTGCCTTGACTTTCTCTGCTCTTGTTCAACTGTTGTTAATTACTGTGTTCTTGTTCTTCCCCACTTGAATCTTATAGCAGAATATCAATAGAGATCCATCCTTTATGATGGTGCTTCTTGAGGCCCGGCACATTCCGAAACGTCGAAGTTAGTGGTTTTTTGATCTCTTACCAACTGTCATCCATAGCAGTTTCTTCTTTTTCGAGCAGATCTTGTAAGGTTTAGAACCTGTTGTTGAGAGCTATCTCGAAGAAAGGCTATATTGAACCTCAATAATACTGTCTCTCCGGTGATCTAGTGTTTCTCTAGCCTTAGTTTCATCTTGGCACCCACTAGATAGTTATTTGAAGCTATGTCACTTCCTCTCCTGATTATCATGTCTTCTATCGATGCAAATATGATCGGTCTGGTTCTTTGTAGTCTGATCCGGTCAGACCCATGTAGCTTTTTGGGGGGAATATTGTGCTACCTATAACCATTTTGTTGAATGCATATGAATTTGCAAATCCTTCATCGCTTTCGTTCCTTTCTCATAGTCTATGATGTCCCATGATATCGCGATACCCAGTGTTTTCCGTTCCGACCTTGGCGTTCGGCTGTCACATTAGGATTGTTAGATCCTTTCCCGAGTACTTCTTTACGATCGACTGCAGCCTCTAATAGAACTGATCTTTATCGTCTTCGTTGTTATAATTGGTTGGTTTATAACACTGGATAATATTCACTTTAATCTCCTAGTTCTTTGTTTTGAAAGATGCTATAATAACAATAATAATAATAATAATAATAATAATAATAATAATAAAATTCCTAGATCCATGAGATTCCCATCCTGTAAGAGCTTTTCGTGCTTCTCTGAACAGCATCAGTGCAACTCTTTGTATGTGCGAACAATTTTCTTCTTCATGACGAAAGTACAGCAGTTTCTCTCCTAAATCTAATCTCTCCTGTTCAGCTTGTGTCTAATGAGTTTCATTTATTCCAAGCACCGCCCAGTTTTTATCTCCTACATTATCCGGATATTTCATGTACCGATATAAATTGTTGCTCTGGTTGTTAGAAGGGACGTTGGCCTCCTAGCCTCCGAAAAGTCTCGGCTTTCTTCATGAGACGTCATAACTTTTCTAAATCAAGATTCTTTAACTCCCAGGACAGAATTCAAATGTTTTTTTCTTGTTAGAGTTTTTTTAAAAATTAAAGTTGTAAACTATGTAATAGTAGGAATACTAAAAGAGTTCAATCCTCATGATGATATATTTATTATTGAGTAGTCATATTGTTGAAATAAACTATAAACTAACTAATTCTACTTTGCAATGTGATCTCTTCAGTTAGTTTCTAAATACTTAATTTATTGTTTCTCATCGAATACATTCTATCGAGTAAAATGTTTACCGTTTTTTTCTCAACAGATAAAACTTTTAGGTGCTCCTTTACATAAATTAATAAAATCTACAGGATTGTCTCAAAATTCTACAGAGACTCATACAAAATTATCATCTAAATCTCAATATTCTCCATTCATTTCATCATCTCATTTCAATAAAACAATCAAAGCTTCAATTACTTGTTCCTCTCATCCTATTCATGAAACTTCCTGTACAAATCTTACTTCTATCAATAGTAATGATGAATATATTAGTAATATTACTGATAATGAATTTATTTTACCGGAATTTATTACTTTGTTAAAATCCAACTCTAATGAACAACATTTATTGTGTACATCAAAGAATAATAAATTGGATGAGAGAATATTGAATTCTTCCTTGATGTTGGATAATAATGTAAACAATAATAATAATAATAATAATAATAATACAATGAATACCACATTTTCTGATGTCAATGATATAAATACAAATGGATTTACTGGTACCATTTCAAAATCTCATCGAATAATCAATTCGGATTCATATTACAATAATAAAATGAAGAATATGAATAAATCTATTCGAAAATCTTCATCTACACCATTGATATCATCTAAATTAGAATTAGATAGATTTGTACCTGGAAACAATATTACAAATATAATCAATTCATCTATTGATAGTAACCATAATTGTAATTTCGATGATCAATTGCATACAAAATCATCTCCTCAAAATAATAATGATAATGAATTGGTAAATTATATTGAAGACTGTATTTCTGTTGTGTTTTTTGACATTTATTTTAATCAGAGATGGGTTTTGTGAATATATTATAGTAATTTAATAGTTGGATTCATCAGTCAATTGAAGCTAGATCACCAGGGAAATTCGTCCGTTGTGTGTGTTAATGCCAGCTGAGTGGTCTAGAGGTTAAGCGTTCGCGTGCGAGACCGATAGGTCTAGGGCTTGAATTCACTGAGGCGGGATCGTGGATATGCACTGTTGAGAAATCACATCCTAGGACGAAATGGCCATCCAGTACTTCCAGGTTGTCAATGGTAGTCAAACATCAATCGATTCATGATCTTGATCAAAAACTTAATAATCTCCACAGTCCCATACTAATAATTACCATGTACTTACTAGTGATTAGCTTCGTGAGGGAATTCTTGGAGTTCTAGTGAGAGGCCGTTACCAGTGGAGCTAATCCGTGTCGGTTAGAGACAAGTATCTTCCACAATACAATGGAAGGTGGTCGCGCGATTTAGTGGATTGGTTGAGGTTACATATTAACACAATTGGATGCCGGTCGGCTGAGTGGTCTAGAGGTTAAGCGTTCGCGTGCGAGACTGAAGGCCTTGGGTTCGAGTCGTGGATGAGCACTTCTGAGTAGTCTCATAATAGGACAAAACGGCCGTCCTGTATTTCCAGGTTTTCTATGGTAGTCTAGCTTCAATTGACTCATGATCTCAACTATTAAATTTATTTATTTATTTAGTTAGTTAAAGTGTTTTTTTAAAATTATCTATCTGTTTTAATTCTATTGAACTTTGTACAATATGCTGTTGACTTTATTTTGAATAACTTATTGAAAGAGATTATGTAGACAAGTACAAAAAATGAGATCATAGTGTTTAGATGAGAATAAGATAAAACATACTGGATCGTAAGACCAATTGTACACATCTGCTTAATAATGGTCTTGTTTGGGTTGCGAACAAGGTCAATTTTTAACACAAGGACTATTTTAAGTATAACCTTGGTATAGTTATTGCAAGTACTAAACTAGTTTGTTTTTATTCTGGGCAAAAGGATATTAAAAGCGTAGTAGTTGTTTCCTTAATTTTGTCTCAAAATTTAAATGTACGTCTTTTCTAAAGTATTCTAAATTCTGCTTCTGTAATTATGATTTTTGATAAGTCATCCAATTACATTATAATCCCATTAAAATCATGAAGTGATCCAAGTTAGACAAACATTAAAATCCTGGAAGCACTGGACGGTCATTTCGTCCTACTATGAAACTGAGAAGTGAGCATCCGTGACATTTCAATTAAAAATTGAACTCACAGCCCTCGGTCTCCCTCACGAACACATAATCTATCGACTACTGAGCACACTTCCGACGGTGTACAAGTCTAATTTCACAATATCGCTCAATATTTATCCATTACTTATGGTGGATAACTGTCTCATAACCAATATCGTTGAACTCCACTGGTCTCAGATTCTCAATAGAAATTCGCGAGTTGTATCTTGAATCTAAACACTAGTGAGCACATGATGATGATTAGAGTACAAGAATGTGTGATTATATATATATATATATATATATATATATATATATATCACAATGAACATAAGTCTGTTTAACTACTCTCACGACTCACTTCCACCCGATAAATGAGTGAAACCATTTCAATTCAACAAACAGATTGAATTATGACTTTGATAATCCTATTTGAAGAAAATATCCAATGAATTTCAAGAAATCATTTATATGATTATTGGTAAAGTTGTAAAATTGATTTCGTACATACTGACTTCGATGATTATTTGTTAGGTAGCTCTATTTATATGTGTTTTGAGATTTGTTTGCAGTACATAGATTTATTTTTCTATTGAAATAACGAACTTATACTGATTAATGTTGAATGAATTACGGGTTTTCTTCATAAAAATTTTATACTGTTACCCATACTCTATAACTTCAGTTAGACAGCAGTGTATCGATAATAAAATTGTTGAAAAATGTTTATCTACACAGTTGAAAATACATTGACTTGTGACTAGAAACTTATGAGTGACTTGTTCGTCAATGGTTTTATCCAATGAAAGTTGAATAATTTCATGAGTTGTGTAATTCCCCGTAAGCTATCTGTTTGCATATTGATTTAAGTTCAGTTAAAAGTTTCAGATTAATGGTTTGTTCAGTCTTGAGTGCTGTTAGAGGTAGGAAGGCGGTTATCACTTCTCGGTTGCTCACGCCGTGGAAGGGTTCTCTAAGAAGTGTCTGAAAAGGAAAGTGGTTCAGAGGTGGTCTTAGTGACCTGGGAACGTGACAACAGGTATAAATGCTTGAGGTCAGTTACACACGACCTTTTTGTGGGTAATTTTTGTGTTAGCTCCGTACTTGCTGAGATCTTACTGCCGGAGACAGAAATCCGTGGGATAAGGCGAGGTGTGCATTTTTAGGGTCGACCTTTTCTAACCCCACCCTTCTTCCTTGTGGTAAGGCAGCATCGTTGTTATGCTGGTTGTCTGAAGGAAACACCATAAGGCCATCACACATCTGTACAGTTAGCAGTGCGACTACGCCCCTGAACCTTGGGTTTGCTGTTTTTAGTCCTATCACTCTTCAACCGACCTGTCTGGCACGGTAGGATCTTGAGGAACGATTGTTCTAGCCAGTATAGAACGATTGGTTCATCACGATAGGCAAGCCCGACCATTGCGTCAGGGTAGCAGCGACGGTCGGGATTGTTATTGGAATATGAACAAAGGTTACAGAGTGTAACAGTGTAAACTAGCAAAGAGATTTAAAAAGAACACTGTAATACTGAAAAATAAATTCATGTTGAAGAACTATAAACATACTCACTTTTAAGTTAATTAACGCTCAATCAGCCTTGCAGACTTTCTAGTTTAATCAGATTTTACTATCCGTTTATTTCATGTAGATCTTAGACCATCATGAACTTTAGGATACTAGATCAGTTTGAGAAGAGGACAACTAACATTTCTTATAGACTGGAAAGATCAACGGGTGGTGTTCACTATGAATACCTTAGTATTTAATATTTAGATACTTAGGCCCGTAAACGTACTTGGTTATGAATCCCAAATAACATACCATAACAAAGCAAACATAATAAACCACAGTAAGTACATAATTAGATGATTGTTTATGTGAGGCTGAATAATGCATTTATCATTAATTTAACCATAAACAATAGATAATAAGAGATAAAGAAATAATTAGTAGATGAAAGGTTACTATAAATTTGGAACTAAACAAAAATATAAATTAATTGTTTAATAAATACATATTGGGATTATATATCAAAGTTCTAGCATTTCCTTGCATCACTACTTCTTAGCAATAGAAAGCTAGAACCCATAGTCGGGTCGAGAATCAGAAAGATTAATCCCTGATTACATTAAAACTTTGTAACCTCTATTATTCGACGATGTGTGTTAATATTCACTTAAAGTTATCAATGGGAATAACTATCTCACTGTAAACTTGCCTGACTTAACATGTAAAGTTTCTCACTTTCCTTTTGGAGAGTCTATCATGAAACTAATAATCGATTACCTATAAATTACTTTATATAATTAGTTTATAAAGATCCTTCAACAATCATTGTAATTTCAATAGTTGAGATCATGAGTCATTTGAAGATAGACTACTATGGAAAACCTGGTAGCACTGGATGGCCGTTTCACCCTATTGTGGTTTTCCATAGTGGTCTAGCTTCAAATGACTCAACTATTGAAATTAAAGAATCAATGGAAAGTAACATATATTCAATGTGTTTTTATTAGTTAGTAACTATTGATTAGTGCAAACTGACAATACTACATTATACCAAACATTCATAACACCATAGTACCCAGTTTATTAAATATAAATACAAGGAGATTTTAATTCATTACTTTTATTTTATAGATAAGATTCGGTTCAAGAAAAATTATAAATTAATAGGATTCATTCAAGCTCTAACCAATTAGTTTCTCGTATAATTTTATAAAATGTAATTTATTTGTGCTATCAGTTTATATAAGCACACTTTCTGTTTCTAACCACATCCTGACATCGGTATTATATACATATCTTTCATTATTCTTATCATGTTACCTTGTGGAAAGGTTAAGGTTTCTAGTATGAAATGATAACTTGACTTTAAACTAGTGGACTGTCTATTTGATATTAGTTGTGATACCGTCAAAGAGTCTAATGTATATATATGCAAGACATGTAATTCATTTGTAATTACAATTACAGTTCATTGTACACCATACCAAATAAATGACGTTTAGTCAGCTTATGCTCAATTCGAATGAATCGATGAATATAATTCAATTGGTATTGCTTGTTTGAATCTTTCCATTGATGTTTAGAACTTCAACTGATTAGTCTCTTATTGGCATATGTTCATACTGTGCACATTGCCTCGATATTGCATGAATTCACAAGCATAACATGCAAGGTTGGATAATGGCTGGCAGCGGAATCCAGGGCGCACGTTTCCTCCTATTTGGGACTGATCAACTAGATGTACCAGCACCTCAAAGTTGATGTTCCCTCTGAGGCTCAAACTCAGTGAATAACGCGATGACTTTCAAAGCAAATGGTATTAGGTTTGAGTTCCAGAGTGAACATCAACTCTGAGATGCAGGTACATCCATTTGACGAGTCCCAAATAGGACAAAACGCGCATCCTGGATTCCACTGCTAGCCACTATCCATCTTTGTATATAATGATGAATAGAAGTTTTAGTCATCAGATACTTCAAAGTTAAACTTGAAAATTATCATGATTATGAATTTATTCTCAAATAAATAAACATTACTGAATTAGTCAGTTTATATTTTGAAAATATTACAGATGTGTTACTGTTGGAGTAATTTAATGATCAATACATTTGCTGATGATTCAACTGGATTCAGTGAAATTTTGAATTCATTAGATGAATGTAATGTAAATAATAGTTCCACTGATGATAGTAACTATATCAATGGTGATGATGATGATTATGATGATGATAAATCTCTTATCAATAGTGAATTATTGGATATATTAATGAAGGATTCATTTTCTCAAGATTCTTCAACTTTTGAATCTTCATGTGATAATTCTCACCCTTTTTCCATAATCAATAATCCATGTAATTCATGTGATAGTTTTGATGAGATCAGTTCAACTTTATCTACTGGATTGTACTTATGTCTTTTACAGCCTGTATGCAGTAAAACTTCATCATTTGATGATTTGACAAATCATGTGTATTCCATAAGCAACGATACTGAATATAATCATAATAACACTATTAGTAATGATAGTAATGATAATAATATTGGTGGAGACGTAAATCAAAATAATCTCTTAGATTCATCTGTCCATTCACTTGAAGATTCACAAAAGTCAGCTGCCAATGATAAACAGGATTCATCAATTTCATGTGAGTTACATAAAAACATCAATATTAGACAGTCAGATGAATCATTAACGGAACTCTGCAATGTTGATACAACATCATCATCATCATTACTTAATGTATCGACGTCAATGAAAATCCCTTCCCTTGAACAAAACAAGGAATGTATACAATCAAAATCTTTCCAATGTCATATGTATTTAAATTGTGCTTTGACAATAAAAATGGTTCAAGGAAAGTAAGTGATTCGTGAAAAATTTCTGAATTTACTGTATTTAATAAATAATGAAAATAATATTTTTAGTACAGGGGTTTGCGAAGATCGTTGATTGTTATTGACATTTGGAATTGACCTCAGCTAGACAACCATTGAAAATAAAGAAGCACACAAACAGCTGTTTCGTCTTATTATGAGATCCTTTTGTAGCTAATTCCCGCATCTCTACCATGGTTCAGAAGCCAAACCTTGATATCTCTCATAGATAACTCAACCTTTATGTTGTTGATTCGGGATTTCATAGTTTACGCTCCTGAGTTTAATCGACTAGTGATACTGCATAACTGTTTCCTCGTGGCACTGGTGGACAAATGCTTAGCGTAAAATATAGATTAAATCCACTGCCCATTCAGAGTTTATACACGCTTTATCTTACCTTAAACCGTGAGATTAAAATTGCTTTATACCTTTATTTCTACGAACTAATTCTATCTTCCTGTATTATATCCTAATACACAATCTTTATTTTATATATTACTACCACTGAAGTAACTACTATGAATTTGGTGTTCATCTTGCTGTGCTAGTGAGGTATTACAACTTGGATCGATGCATATATGTGCCTGGTCCTACGTTGTAGCTGACTGACTGCCCACTCACTACTTTCTAATAACACCCCGTCTTTTCTTCATCTAGAAAACTTATGTGAAGCCGTTACCTGATCGTTAACACACTAAGTTTTCAACCAATCAATCACTGGTTAAAATCCCTGTCCATCTTTCGGAAGCTAAGTAATATCATTATTTTCATACAAATATCGTGGCTCAGTGTTTAAATCATGAACATTTATAATAGTCACATGATATTAATCAAATTCCATTGCTTGATCAATTGTTGTAAATCTTCCAATGTTAAATTATCCTACTATATTTGTGTCGATCGTAAATCTGTCTATAAAATAAAAACTCTTCGAAAATTGATTACCTTTTGATACAATTATCACTACAAAAGTTTATGAAGATTGCTGAGTTTTAGTCTACTTCATGGTCTGGTCTTAGACGACCATTAAAAATTATTAAACAGTACCCAGCTATTTCATCCCAAGTAATATTAATCCTCAACAGTGTGTATCCAAGATACAACCGTAGATCGAGATCAACATTAGAACAACTGTTGTTTAAATTTATCAATCACACCTACCTCTTACATTTATGAACAGTTTTTCACACTTCCCCCCTTTCGTATTCCACAAATCTGTTGCCTTATGATATTATCAATCTTAAAAATGGTATGATTAGTGATTAGTGTTTTAAGATGGATATAAAGGTGATTGACTTTTCAGTAACAATGAGGTCTAGCAACCATACTACTGATAATTTAGATTTAGGCTCGAACGTGATTACAGTTAGAGATAGTTCGAATCCCAGTATGCTATATCTTTATATATTTGCGCGAGAACTCTGTGCATCTGGTAATAATGTTCAAGACACATTACGATAACACTTGGGCCAATCACTATTTTTTAAATGTTTATAACTATACCTTTAAAATCGATCGTTTGAGGCAAAAATAGAAGCCAAAGTCATTTTAATGTCATCCAGAGACCAAACCCAAGACCTTCAAATATCATGGAGCGCACTTGAAGATTAGACTATTTGATATATACATGATAATCGGATGAAAACACGTTTAAATTAGAGGATGTAAACTTCTAGCTAAATGAAAGAAATGGAATAATAGAATGATCTAATTAATCAGTGAACCACTAACTAAATATTTGGGTCTTTTTTTAAAAATATCTTTACTTATATTTTTGTATTCAAACAGCTTGTTTATAATTTTTCTAATATGCTTGATTACGTTTTACAGTTACACAGACTGTTTCGATATTGAAGATCAGAGTGGTATAATCAATTATTCTTATCTTGAGTTTATTCATCCTGATGATCTACAAAATGTTATTACTATTTTTACTAGAAGTAGGTTTCATTCTTATTGCCAAAAATTGAAAATTAATAATACTTCATATTGAAATTTAATCATGATTTACTGTTAGTGAAACGAAATATATACTTACTTACACCTGTTACTCCTCGTGGAGGAGCATAGGCCGCTCACCAGCATTCTCCATCCAACCTTGTCCTGGGAAATCCTTTCCAGCTCTTTCCAGTTGTTATTCATCCTTTTCGAACAACCAGAGCAACAATTTTTATAGGTACACGGAATGTCCGGGCAATAATTATAGGAAACAAAATATATATTGAAATCAAGTTAACAGTAATGAACTATACCAGAATTAATCATTGAAAACCTTATAATAGCAACAACAACAGATTCAAACATAGGAGTAACCAAGTTTCTACTGAAATATTAACTTATTCTGATTAGAATGGATAGGTAGTCAAAACAACTAAGATTGAAAATCATATTAACTAACTGCATATTTGTTGAATATAGAATGTTCCCATATACAACTTTACTTTATAGTCTTACCTAATGACAATATGGGATCACCCTTAAGTATAACAGTCGTAGTTATTGCTATATGATCTGATTTTAATTATGTTTTTACAAAATGGAATGTCATTCAATCCATTATTAGAAATGTCTCTTGTGAAAATTGACTGAAATAATTGAATACATTTCAAGAAAGTAACATTCTATTTGATCATTGGGTTATATAATACACTTTCAGTTAACAGCGAGTTCTTAATGTTCCTGTACATTATGATAATAAGATCGGATAATATAAACAGATAAGAACCCAAAGTTTGATTTTTGACTGTTATCCTGATCGAAAATTATTAATGGAACTTGTTATTATTGAGGTCTCTTAAAATTGAAATTTACTGTTTTCTAATTGTTGGTAGCCCTCTATATTCCTAGGAAACATTTTCAGCAACTTATAGAAATATGAAGGTCTAACATCACTCGGGATTTAATAGAAACTTCTCAAAGAGTTTTGGTAAAATGGTAGACTATATGTTATGTTCATCAAATTTCCAGATGCATCTGAAATGTTAAGGTTGTACACGGACTTATATATAACTTTCTTCTCTGTATCTAAACTAACATTAGAAGAAAAAGTTCTTTCCGTATTTCCCACCTTTGGTCGTTCTTTCAAGGTTGAAGTTTTGGAGGCATCTGGAAACTAGGGAATGGTTAGTAGTCAGTATTAAGCAGCCAATTACCAGAAACATCATTGTTTTTTCATTATGACATCTCTTATACAAAATATTGTTGTTAAGACAACAATACATTCTAAAACAACTGTTGATTTGATCAGCGAGTAATCTACCATTCATTCATTGAGTCAAACAGAATTTTAATAAAAAGTATTAGAAACAGATTAGTAAGTGAGTCTCAATCTTAATATCAACACTGGGATGAGGATCCATCTAGATGAGTAGTCCTAAATAAGATGAAGCTCGCGCTATGGATTCCACCGTTAACCATATATCAGATTATTAAAAGCCAAGAATATTCTGTTTTCATAAAATATACATTCTTCCTATCTATTTGTGAACATTAACTTTTTCGATGCTCTTTACTTTATACAATTCTCTTTAGTAATTCATACAAATTCTCTGGCATGGATCAGTCCATACAGAGTATCAGTATATAATAAAATGGTAAACAATAATACTGAAAAATCTTATCGTTGGATACGTAGTTTAGTATCGTACAACAAAATGAAAAATATTTTTATATGTTCCAGTCAGTTTCTTGGGTAAGCACTTGTATTACAAAAGTTACCATTGTATGTTGATTGTGTATGAATTTAACCTATTTCTTCTATATCCTTTTTTTAAATGAATGAAATTCGTTAAAAGCTACAAAAAGTAGATTACACAGATTGAAATCATGAGTCAATGGAAGCTAGGCCACCATGGAAAACCTGGAAGCACTGAACGGCTGTTTCGTCCTCGTATGGGACTCCTCAACAGTACGCATCCATGACCCCGCACCCCGCGAGACTCGAACCCAGGACCAATCAGTCTCACGCCAGTAAAAGTAAATGAGTCAGAAAGAGTATTTGCACTTGATTCAAGTTAAAAAAGGTCAATATTAAGTAGAATCTGTTCCTGTGCTTATTTTATAGTCACCATATGTTGAATTTGGTCTTAGATAAATAATACCCGGATATTTTATATTTTCAATTATGAATAGTATTCAGTCGATCCTTGAAAAATAATTATCATATGAGTTGATACTTATGTTGTACGAAGTTGAAACTTGGAGAACTATTTAATTTATCATCAAAAAAAGTACTAGTATTTCTAAAGAGTTGTGTACTCAAGATACTCAATGTTTGTTGACCGGATACCATCAGCAACATTCTACTATTGAAGAGGACAAATCAGATTCCAAATGAAGAGCAAATTAGGAGAAGATACTGGAAGTAGATAGGACACATATTGAGCAAATCATCAAACTGTATCATGAGGCAAGCACTTACTTGAAATCCTGAAGGAAAACGGAAAAGAGGAAGACTAAGGAACACACTGGATTGAGGATTGAAAGCAGACATCAAAAGAATGAATAGAAACTGGAAAAGAATATTTAGAGCAAAGTAGTTGGATAGAGAATGCTAGTGAGCGGCCTATGCTCCTCCAAGAGGGGTAACAGGTGTAAGAAAAGAGAAGAGATGACAATTATGTTCAGTAATAATAAATATATCTATTTTGTTATATCTCAATGAATAGAAAATTATATTTCTGACATTACGTGACTTTATGTAATCTACTTTTGAAGAATCAACTGTGGATAATTGTCTTATATTAAGTCACGAAATATCAGAAATATAATTTTCTATTCATTGAGATATAACAAAATAAATATATTTCTAATTAACTTTCTAACCGATTCTTAATTTATTTGGAACTATCAAGTCTAATCTTGGCATTGATACCTACAAACTCGTTATATTCAATAGATGAATAAAGACTGTATATATCAAATATCTTCTTAATATAAACTACTAATGAAAATATTATAAATGATTTAAGTTGGATTTACTTTGAATTGTTTCAGTGAGATTTTACAAATACCATTCTTCCTCTTTATAATGTCTTACATTAACTCGGCATCCAAACACTATGACACTATTCGATCAAATTTAGACGAAAATTCTTAATGATTTAAGTAGTTTATGGTTTTCAATTATTGATAATAAACACTAAAATTGTATATTTATTTGTATATTTAAACAAAACAAAACAAACTATTCATCCACCTTCTGAATGTGATGATTTACTCATTTGCTAACGTATCCATGTCTTTAAAAAATACAATAAACATATTAGTAAACAACATTTATACTATAAATTGTTCCTGTCATTGAGAAAATGTAAAAAGAAAAAAAAAGGTACAATAAATAATTGAGATATACGGAATGGAATGTGTAGCTATTTTTAGCTTCCACATTTTGAAGAGATATCTACTATAGTAGAGTGTACATATGATTCTGAAAGTTGAAATTTTCGTAATTCCTATATTTGGTTACAAATAAATGGGTTTTTTTCAAGTTTTCTTAGATTGTAAGCAAAGGTTGCTAGTGGCTAGCAGTGAAATCCAGGATGCGCGTTTAGTTCTATTTAAGACTCATCAGCTGGATGTACCTGCATCTTAGAGTTATTGTTCACCCTGGGACTTGAATGCAGTACCGTTCGCTTCAAACATTATCACGTTATCCACTTAGCTACTGAGCCCTTATAGCCACAAGTTTGTTCAATGGAGTGAAGTTTAGATTCATTTCGAGTCTCGAAGTGAACATCCAATCTCAGATGCAGGATATCCAGTTGACGAATCCGAAACAGGACGAAACGCGTGTCATGGATTCTGCTGCTAGTCACTAACCATCGTTACACATAATGCTTGTGACTTAAGGCAATATCGAAGCGATAAGCCCATTATAAGAGACTGATCAATTGCAGTCCTAAACATCAATGGGAAGATTCAAACAAACAATACCAAGTGAATTCCTTAGATCATGTTACATTTTTCATTTGACTTCTCTATTACTAATCTAATTTCAACTAAACAAGCAAGATGATATTCATGCACAAGTTAGACAATATGATTTCTGAGACCAACTGTACAGAGAATGAGCCTGAACTTCGATACCATTGAATGATAGTCTTATGATGCAACGAAACGTATTGAAGTTGATAAAGGTGAACCATTACACGTGGATTTAAATGAATGAATGACTGAACATTGATGAGCAGTTTTAAACGGAAATGAAACAAATAGTTCAATAATTCATTTTCGAACTAATATTAGTATGGAATGTAAACTATTTTCATAGTAAATACAAATTTTCGATAGGTTTCAAGTATGTTGAGAAAAAATGCAGGCTAAATTAGACTATTCATAGTAATAAAGAATCTGATAAAATTGGCTGGTTTAAACTCATGAGACGAGCATACTGAATCATTAGTACACTTTGTCATTACTTATTCTGACCTCAATTACAATAATGAAAACTTGATATGATATATTTTGTGTACAAATATTGCTGTCCTGTGATAGAGTTAGGATTTATTGATTGAAGGGGTACACGTATACAGTGTTCAATGGCATAAGTCATGAATCATATTTTTAAAAGGGTCTATTTGGGTGCATAATACATGTTTGAAATAGACGAATTGTGGAAAAAGTTTTCTCTGAGGATAATTTTATATTTAGGTAAATGATAACAACTAAATAATTTTCTTTCCTAATCACCATCGCTTAATTAATCCAGAAAAATTACTGGGTACACTAAAACTTCTTAATAACAATTAGTTATAAGAATATCATACATCATGGATCCTTGACACTTTTCAAGAATACGGAGTAAAAGAATTTAACAGAATCAACTATGTTGCTTTATCATTCAAGATTGTCATATCCAACCGCTTATCAGAGATTTATAATACTGGGAATATGTTCGAGTGAGAACATAAATATATAATCAATACCTATACAATTATACTTATTCTGTATGCTTTAATTTACGAATTTCATCATTCTTCCTGCTTTTTATTGTGAGATTTTTAGAGGTAATCAACAAGAAACCTTGTATCATGGTTTTGTGCGAGTCGACAATTACAACCAAGGTATAACTGCAGTATTGACCGAATTGATGTCGCTGGTGGATTCAAATCCATATCACCCAGTTCCACAGTCTGAAATGTCAGCACTAAGCTATTAAAGGTGTAACTGACAATTAATTGATTGCTAAGTAATGACTAAATAAAAACGATTTGGCTAGAAAGATTTTTTGTCTAATATACAGTGAATCTAAATTACTTCTGAAATTTAGTCAATCATTCGATTTAGCAATAGTGAAGTTAGCAGTATAATCTTAGTAGTCAATATGAAGAGAATCAACGACATCCATGCTTTGAACGAATTTATTACAGCTAACCATGCATTTGTTATGTATATATTTAAACCAAATCTTCAAATACTAAAAGTGGATTATTGACAATATTTAACCAAGTCAGTCAATCAAGTGGTCTGAGGTTACTTTATTAAACATGATTCACTTCGCGACCGTTATCATCATGACGTTAAACAATTTTTGATTTCAGTATATATTTAATGAGTGAGAGCTTATGGCGAACTGTTATCAAAACTGATTACATGATGTGACGTTCGTCAGGGCTGTTCATTCTCTCCATTCCTGTTTAACTTGGTCGTTGACGTGCTTTTAGAGATAACACTTTCCTCATCTAAATTTACAGGAGTTGAACTTTTATCGGCAGATTCATTTATTGACTTAGAACATGTCGATGAGATAGTTCTATTTGGTGAAGACGCTGACAAAATGCATAGTGTTCGAACCACTCTAAGCAACAATGCATGCATGTTCGGGATGTGATTCTCCCCCTTGAAATGCAAAATGCTTCAGGATTGGGTTGAACCGATACCTGAAGTAATGATGGGGAATGAAGTAGTTGAGCGTGTCGACCGCTTCACTTATCTGGGAAGTCTAATCAGACCTTGTGGTCTGGTGTGTGACGAAATCTAAGCACGGATACAGAAGACTCGACTAGCTTTTACCAACTTACGTCATTCATGGCGTAGGCGAGATATCCGTCTATCAAACAAAGGACGTGTTTACTGCGTATCAGTTCGTTCTGTCCTACTTTATGGCAGTGAAACATAGCCAGTAAGAGTAGAGGATATTCGTAGGCTACTAGTATTTGATCATAGGTGTCTTCTAAGCATTGCTCATATATCCTGAGACCACCGAGTAAGTAATGTAGTTGTTAGGAAACAGTTAGTAAGTAAGGGTGGCAAATCAATTGGTGAAACAAAGAAACTTCATCAGTTGAGGTGGCTAGGACGTGTGTTAGGTATGCTCATCTCCCGACTCCCCCGACGAGCAATGTTTTATAGTGTAGGAACAGGTTGGAAGAAAGCTAGGGGCGTCCAGACCAAAACATGGCACAAATCCATTGACAAGTGGACTGAGTCATGTTGGTAAGTGTACACTACCTGGTTGGGATCCGCGAGTTGATAGCAACCGATGGTTAGAGAACTTGAATGACATGGCTCAAAATTATTTGCAATGGCTCAGGTGTATCCACTCTTTGTGTTCTCCCAAATTCTAATCTTCTGAATTCTTTATGTCCCTTTTCTTTTATTTCTCTTTCCAAATTTATTTCACTGGATTATACTCCTTCAATAACATCTTCAAACCTTAATAGTTCCGATTACTGCTTATACTTTTACTACCTCTACCACTACTGGATTTTAAATCGACATTTGTATGTCTGTGATAATGCGGTATGGCGACTCGAACTGATGTACGTACTTACGAAGTCCTACGTTGTTGCTGACTGACTGACTGACTAAAATATTTAATTAATTAATTTACACAAAACACTATTATTTTAATTTTTATAATGTTACATGTTATTGAACAAGAGGAAAAAAAACACTACTGCTTATTTCTTTTATTTAGATTATGTGAATTATACACTTGTGCTGTTGGATCGAATCAAAGATTACTAAGTGTAACTTTTGAACATTCACTTAAACAATTTGAATTAAAACTAAATAATACTATCAATGACAATTATATCTCTTCTCAAAATATAATGAAACCATTCAAATGTAATCCTTCAAATGAATATTCAATTAATCGTCGTTATCATCAACAATTGAAAAGTAAACAAGTTCGTATATCTAATTCATCATTTCGTCCTGTACGCTTAAAAAAACCATCTACATCAATAGTGATTAAAAATAGTAACATTATTAAACCTATCAAATTGTTTACATTTCAATCTACTCAATATATAAAACAACAATCAGGACAAGGATATAATCAGATTATTTCTACAAATAATCAGATTAGATCCATTAGGCTACTTTCATTGAATAATAGTGGTAATAATAATAATAATAATAATAATAATAATAATAATAATAATAATAATAATAATAATAAAGTGCCTTGTTTATCTCATTTGAATTCACATTTATATGATACTACTAAGGCTAATGATAATAGACAAATAAATTCTGTATTAAATATTTCTACAACCAAATCTTCATTGCATCATTCTCCTTCAAATATATCATCAGTTCCATATTATGTAAAATCTATGTTACCAGTAGTTAACTATACATCATTATCATCATCATCATCATCATCATCATCATCATCATCATCATCATTGTCATCACCTTCAAAAAAGTTAATTTTCTTATCTTCAGCTTCATCTTTACCATCAACTGTTTCAACAAAATCAATAATGTTAAATAAATTACAAACATTTAATACTTCCAATATACTTAGGAATAAGTTTCGAAATGATGATAAACGAGGTAAATATATTGAATATTCAACAATGTGCCAAGACAACAATCCTATAACTTTACATAATAGTAATAATAATATTCATTCTTCATCATATTCACAAATAAATGATGTTTACAATCAAATTGTAAGTTCAATTCATTACTAGTATTATTTATGATTGTTATCGATGATTATCATGTGTATTTTCGTCAATTTTTGAAATAGGTAAATAGTACATTTGTAAGTTATGACAGTGTAATAAGGTATAAGGAAAAACATAGTACTATAGAGTAGGATCTAGAGAGATTGAGTTTAAATAGTTAACAGTTTATAGAAGCTGATTTCACCATTGACTTATTTGTCGAAGGTTTGCTTAGGATGTATGTACTATCGATATGGAGATTTGTAGAGGTTGATAAATGTTATTAAGATCATGAACTCACCATTGAAAATAAAGAAGCGCCGGAGAAGCTATTTCATCTTATGGTGGACGTTCTTAGCAGTTCGCATTCACGACCCCAACGAGGAGGAAACGTAGAAACTAGAGATCTTTCAGTGATAGATCAACCTTTAGACCACTGAACCGACATCTATTGATTACATGTTTAACTTTGAGAGGAAATTTACGGTAACAAGCCGTGACCAATTACGTCTAGTCGTGTCAAATGTGAGTCCACTACTCGGTAAAGACAATAAGAGATAGCTGTGAAATATTATAAATTGACTAAAGTTAACAATGCAAAATTTCGGGCTCCACACCGGTGATCCAATGATTAGGCACTCGCCACGAGACCTGAAAGTTCTAGGTCCAACCCCCGAAAGGGTCATTGATGCGCATCACCTGTTAGTCCCATATTAGGACGAAACGGCTGTTTAGTGCTTCCGAATTTTCGATGAGTCTAATGTGGGTTAGTTCATGATCTCAATAAAATACAAACTTTTTTCTCTCAAACTTTCTTAACTGAGAATATTTAGGAAATCATGTCATTGTTGTTTATGTCTACTGATTATCCGGCTTAATTATAAAAAATGTCCAAGCGCTTAGATGATGTTTCCAATTTTCTAACACTCAAATGTATATATTCCGTATCTAAACATAGTGACTTTAACCGGATATCATTCTCACTTATTTTGTGAATATTTACTTGGCACAGAATCTTTAAAATGTATTTTTGCTCATAATGAAATGATACAGTAAAGTATGTTTGATGAAATAATTCCTATATTTAAGTAATAAGAAGTAAATTTTATTCTTCAGATTTTTTGGCATATCAGTATCTGTTCTCAAGATACTGAAAATTGTATCACTTACATTCATAGTACAATACGAGTTATCTAGTTAAGCAGCAGCTTTATGGTCAAACTAATCAACAAAATCTAGTCAACATGAATGGATGTCAAGATTTCATATTTATGATGAGTCATGTACTTAGCTATATTTATTTAACTATTAGATGTAACATGAATATAAAACAGTTTATTTCTTACCAGTACAGTATAGGGGTTGTGGAGATCATTAAGTTCTTTATTGAGATCGTGAGCCGATGGAAATCTGGAAGCACTGGACAGCCGTTTCGTCCTATTGTGGGATTCCTCAGCAGTGCGCATCCACGACCACGCTTGCGGGATTCAAACCCAGAACCTTCAGTCTCGCGCGCGAATGCTTAACCTACTGGACCATTGAGTCGGCATGCAATTGTTTTAGTGTCTAACATCAGCCAATCCACGAAATTGTGCGACCATCTTCCATTGTACTGAGGTAGATACCTGTCTCTACCCGACACGGATTAGTCCCACTGGTCGCGGCTTCTCACTAGAACTCCGAGAATTCCCTCTTCGTGAGGGGTCGATGATAGGCACTGCTGAGGAGTCCCACAATAGGACGAAACGGCTGTCCAGTGCTTCCAGGTTTCTAACGGTGGTCTAACATCAGTCAGTTCATGATCTCAAAAAGTTTATTTTTTCTAATATTCATGTATATACAAAACAGGTATTTGCTCATGAAAACAATAAAACATTGAACCCAATGAAATTAACTGTAAAGCCTGTTTATAATGATCATCAATGGAAATCTGGAGATAATTGGTCATCATCTTTAACAGACAATTCATCACCTCATTCAGTATATTCATCTCATGGATCAAGTACATCAATCGATCTTAGTCCAAATGAACAAAATCTAACAGATTTAAGTGTGGGTATGCAAATGGAAGCTACTGTTAGTGAACTATTAGAATCAATACCATTATCAAACAAATTATCGTATGATAATGACGGAGTACAAATGCATATAGATTTTAATGGTAATTCATATGATTCAAATATATTTGAGCATGAAGACTCAGAACTATTACCATTAGATTCTGATTTTGAAACTAGTGAAAATTTTACTGGATTTCAACCAGATTTGATACCTGATTCAAATTTTCTCAGTAGTCCTGTTTAAAGAAATGTAAGTTTCATGTGTAAATATTTATGTATTTCATAATAAACTATTGTTTATATAGTTGAAGGTCAAAAGTTTTTGATTGATATTTTAAATTTTTTGTTTATAAACAGTTTTACTGTTAATTTAGTCATTAAACATGAAATGTATCAAGTTGTTATTAGGGTTTGAGATTCGCGTTTGGGATCCACGAGGTGATAGCAACCGATGGTTAGGGAACTTAAATAACATGGCTCAAAATTATTTGCAATGGCTCAGGTGTATCCACTCTTTGTGTTCTCCTACATTCTAATCTTCTGAATTCTTTATGTCCCTTTTCTTTTATTTCTCTTTCCAAACTTATTTCACCGGATTATACTCCTTCAATAACATCTTCAAACCTTAATAGTTCCGATTACTGCTTATACTCTTACTACCTCTACCACTACTGGATTTTAAATCGACATTTGTATGTCTGTGATAATGTGGTATGGCGACTCGAACGGATGTACGTACGTTGTTACGGACTGGCTGACTGAGAGTTTGATTAAATTTAGAAATACTATAAACGTAACTATTTTGACGGTTAATATTGATAGGAAAGTATAGGGATTTTAGTCAGATGTAGTTAGAAACGATGAGTGATACAAAAGTGATCGAGTTTTTCTTTTTGCAAAGTTCAACTTGAAGTAGCTGAGATTATGCAGCTTTATCACATGGTGTAACTGTAGATATTTTAGTAGTTCTTTTATTAAAATAGATGAATTGTAGTTAGTAGGGGAGGTCGTAATGGGAATTACAAACGTTTTAAGCACGAGTGATGGCAGTAGGCCTCAACATACACAAGAGAAAAACTAAGATCCTTGAATACAACACAGAGAACATCAACGCAATCACACTTGATCGAAAAGCTCTGGAACAGGTGGAAACTTTCACGTTCCTGGGAAGCATCATCAATGAACAATGAGGATCCGATGTAGATGTAAAGGCGAGGATTGACAAAGCAAGACCAGCATTCCTACAGTTGAAGAACATATGGAACCGAGAACAACTATCAACCAATATCAAAGTCAGAATCTTCAATACGAACGGCAAGGAAGTTCTACTGTTTAAAGCAGAAACTTGGAGAATTACCACAACCATAATAAAAAAAAGTACAACTATTTACAAACGATTTGTCTATGGAAGATACTCAGTGTCGGTTGGTCGGGTACCATCAGCGACAGTCTACAATGAGAGAGGACAAACCAGCTTCAAGCTGAGGAAATAAGGAGAACTGTGGAGGTGGATAGAACGCACATTGAGGAAATCATATAACCGCATCACAAAGCAAGCGCTAACATGGAATCCTGACGAGAAACAAAAGTGGAAGGCCTAGGAACACACTGAGCAAAGAATTGGAAGTAAATAAGAAAAGGACTGCCCAGAACAGGGTTGGGTGGAGAGTGATGGTTGTCGGCCTATGCTCCTTGAGGAGGGTTAAGAAGTATAAGTAAGATTTTTTATGAATTACCAGAATTTTCAACGGTTTAAACACTTATTAGATTTTACGTAGTACGTTAGATACCTATATAAAAATGAGTACGTTTTCAGTGGTCTGAGATATGACTCCAATTAGGTCGTATGGATGATTGTCGTCAAAATATACATCCTCCCTGTCCTCTTATATAATCATCGACTTAAATCGCATTAGTGAATAACGGAATTAGATAGGTCAAATACGAGAATGCATTTCAAATACGTATATTTTGTATAATCGTTGATTGGAACAGACAATCAAAGAGACGTAGCAAAGGAAGTAAAGAGAAGATAGCAAAGCGAAATGACGCGCGATGGAGAAGGCGTACGAGCCAACTCGATTTAATCAAGCATGGATCAATATTTGTAATCAGATAAAAATGAGTTACAGACATGTGATGGGTAAGATAGAAAATGCACACACATACGATTACATAAAAGCAGTGAAGTTTGATAAGCGAATAATTAACAAAGTGAAGATGTGATTCAAGAAGAATGAATAAATTGGTCTGTCCGAAAGACAGAATAAGCTGTGTGAGCTTGTATAACCCTACAAACAGATAAAATGAAAGAGATCTTGATTGAAAATTGAAACAACTTGCTTAAATCACTGTAAAAATGTGAATAAAGCGAACAAATGATATAAACCTTTTTATAATGAAGTTTTAGATCACGAAACGGATAAAATTTCACACGATTCTGATTTTAAATTGTTACTATTAGCTACGTTTTAATTGACTTTCGATTGGATCACAGAGATTTACTGTAGTTTTTACTTATTTTTCAAGATTCTCTAGAAAGATTGAATAAGCTTTTGGGCGTGTTATCAACATTCATCATTAAAGGGCTATTCTTTGTCTGATAACTTTTGAGTGCATAGTATTTGTGACCAGTTGATAGGCGAGATTAGCTCATTTATTTTAATTTTCAAAGAATAATTCAAACGATGGATATAATTTAGTGATGATAAAATATTTTCCTAGAAAAACAAATGATTGTTTTGAGAAGAACGGATAAATTGTTTTGTCCCGAAACTAGAATAAACTGTGTGCGCTCGACACGGGACCAGCCACTACACCTTGCTCTCGTTCGGAGAAAAGAGACTATAATTTATGGACGAACCAATCAGGCATAACAGTCTTGGATTTTGGCACGAAATTCACCCATGCATTTGTCTAAATTGCGTCTTGGCAATATAGCTGATGCCATTTCGTGATGAAAACCGTAAATCAAAATTCTAACCCTAACCATCAATTGTAAATAGCAATTCTTATTGCTCACACTGGTTTATAGCTTTCATTTAGTCCTTGTTAATGGGCATTCTCACGGTCACTTCAGCGTCGCTCAAAGGTCGTCCATAGATTATGGTCTCACAGAAAAAGTTTTCAAACTAATAAATATATGGCAAACATTTTATCTTAATAACTGTTGCTATTATACCTCTTGAAAAAAGGCTTTAAAATATTATGTTTTGCTTTAACCATATGATCAAGATAGAATCCAATTTTCATCTAAAGAGATGACCAATCTCTTGATTTTCTATAAGATAACGTAATAGAATCATCGAAATATTGAGTATCACGTTTACTTGCCAACAGGCTACTAATTGTCAAATATACCCCCATAAGTTAGTATGAGTGTCAATTAAGCTGAAATCAAATCAACATCTTAACCGAAAGCTAAACATTTTAGGTACACATGAAAACCTTTCCCCATTAGTTACTGACGAATGGGGTTACAATTACATTCAATTTAAATACAATGGTGTACGGTGGCGCAACTTCGTGGATTGGTTGAAGTTAGACATTAACACCGTTGGATGCCGGCTCAGTGGTCTAATGGATAAGTACTCGCGCGCGAAGCCAGTAGGTCCTGGGTTCGAATCCCGCGGGGGGCGGGTTCATGGATGCGCACTGCTGAGGAGTCCCACACTAGGACGAAACGGCCGTCCAGTGCCTCCAGGTTTTCCATGGTGGTCTAGCTTCAATTGGCTCATGATTTCAACTTGTAAATATAAATCGTTCGCTTGTTGATGAAATTATCTTTTTGAAACAACATCAAAAAAACCATACTGTACAAATGTATCATTGATGAACAGTTTGAATTTTTAAGAAACATTTTGTAAATTACATTTTACAAACAATCATTAGCATTTGATAAGCTTTTCATATAACTACTATGATATGATGAGTTAAAAAGGCAATTACCACTATAGATTCGTGTTTTATTTAGAATATATAAGAACATAGAGATAACAAATGAAAGAATTTTTATTGTCACTAAGTACTATGGCTTATTTAGAACATGATATCACTTCAATAAAGCCTAAATATCTTTATTTTAATTTGTAAAAGTACTTTCGGTTGATAAGTCCAGAATATGCGCATATTGAACTTCTACAAAGTTGAATCCACGAGTCAATCTAAGCTAGACCCCCATTGAAAACATGAAAGCGCTGATCGGCCGTTCCATCCCAGCAGGGGACTCTTCAGAACTGAGCATCCATGATCCCACACTATGGACTCGAACACAGGACCATTTAAATTTCACTATTAACCACATTCCGTCTATTTTATATTAAATGTCAATAGTATTGAATCTTCAAACATTTGTAGTCATTCAATAACGTTTACTTATAATGAACGCCCAGGATTTAATAACGAGAATATTCTCTATTGAATTATATAGAAACCCGATACAATCAATAAATTGTATTAGAAAGAACCCACGAAAGGTGATTTGTAGATTGTTTTAAATAGTATGTTTATAAATACGTATTTTATCCTTACACTTTTATTGCTTTTTTAGAAAAGGAATGTACCGAATTCAAATAAAACAAACCCTTAATTGAAATTATGAAAGAAGCTTAAATCCTATTCTTAGTTACATCTTTAAAAGAAGAAAATAATCAGCAAACTACTACTAATATCTGTTCAAAGTGAACAAATTTCGATCATCATTATTTCATCACTGTATATTTTCTTATGATTTTGTCTTCATTTAAAATGTTATTTATTGAAAGTGAAAATATTGCTTAGTTCCTTTTTGATATATCCTTACTCCTTTGACTAGTACTTCCCTACCTACCTACCTGTCTATCTATTCATATATTTGTGTATCTACATAATTACCTTACTTAAATAACTTATTTATCTGTATAATTTATATTCAATGTTAACCCCGCATTGTTAGTCCAGAAGAGAATTTGATATTTAAGAAAATGTGTAGTAATGTATACAGAAGTAATTTTGAACGAAAACATGAAAAAGGAAAAGCATATTTCTATTTAATAAGAACAAATTATTTTTTTATTCATTGACTTCTTGTTATGTTACGAGGCGAGAATACAACGGAGAAAGAATGAGAGAGGGAAACAGACGGAGAGAGAGAAAAAAATGCGAAAGAAAGTTAAAATAAACATAGATTAAGAACATTTGAAAAAAAGGAATTGAAACTTACAAATCTTAAACAAACTATTTTTTTAAGCAATGATGGATAGTGGCTAGTAGTGGAATCCAAGATGCGCGCTTCGTCCCATTTGGGACTCGTCAGCTGGATGTACTTGCATCTCAGAGTTGATGTTCACTCTAGAACTCGAACCCAGTACCATTCGCTTCAAACGCCATCGCGTTATCCACTCAGCTACTGAGTCCTGACCATTTTTTAAATCTAGAAGAAACTAATTGATAACAAAAATGGTTGTATTTAGATTGATTTACATGAATTTACAAATTCAAAACATCACTGGTGTATTTTAAAATTATGACAAGTAAAGAATTATACCTAAAAATGATATACAACCAAGATTTTCACTTGACAGTATAACTTATTTTTATAACATCATTTCTTGCTCCAATAAAGATTTGTGATAAGTTTGTCATAAAGCTTAAGTAATGAGAATAATGGAGGTGGTATTTGAGAAACAGAATATTAGAGTCTTAGTTCGATTTGTCAAGTAGTCATTGACAGTTTGCTTATTAAATCATTATTTACCTTTTGTAATCTTAAAATATTGCCGCAAGTCGATATTTCCATGCTTATTCGTTTTATATTACATGTTAGACATAGGAACATAATATGTAAGTCTCTTTACTGTATTGGGTTGATTGTAAATGAGAACATTGATGAAGATTTCGATATCAAGATGAAAAATAACTTTTCTCTCTGTGCAAAGCTTTTTATCATCACAACTATGATCATGTTACTACAACTAATGAATTAATTTTTCCCTTCCTGTCTAATACTTCACATGTCCTGAAAGAATAGCAAAAGAATTTCAGTTGTAAAAAGAAGAGGATATAACTGTGATAAAATTCAAATCAATGATATCAATGTGATGAAATCAATCCACTACTTTTGCCAAACTATACTAATTATCTGATGGAATAACAATAATACAAATGTAATCATTCCTAAGGATTTATTAACAATTAAAAAAACAGAGGAGAATAATAGGTTAAGAAGAATAAGAAAAGGAAAACGGTCAAAATCACCAAGGGAAACCTGGAAAAAAACACACCATATAAATAAGTATTTCACATAGGAAAGTGTATACACATCATATAAGATATAAGAACGACATGAAGATATAATAAAATATGACAATATAATATTGATTTATGATACTTCTTTTTTCTTCATTTCATCAAACAATCTTCATCCACATGAGTAATACCATTAAAATTGTGATGAATATATCAATTAAGTATAAAACGGGATAGAAAATAGTGTGACATGGATTGGTTAGTAATAAAAGAGGACCTATTTTGAAATGTTTCTTCTTCTTCTTCTTCTTCTTCTTTAAGCAGAATATTACAATAAAAATAAATTCTATGGAATAAACAGATTTTCATTGGCATATAATAATAATATGTAACATAAAGGTATGAATATTTGTTACTGAGAGAAAAAATTTATTAGTTTTCATTTCTTTGACAATATTTAATGTATCATTAAAGGAACAAAGCATGCGATGGTGCGGTAGAGGTTGGGGGGGGGGCGAAGAAAACTGTAACTGTACATATATATGAAAATTATGCATATTTATTATTTGACATTCATTTGTTGAAATAATACCATGTACATAATATATTGAAATATCAGAAAATGGATAAAACACTAATCAATATATCGTTGGAAGACAGAGATACTTATATATATATATGATCGATAAACGTTCCGATTATTCATTTTATCGTTGCTGTTGCCCACTTTTTTCTAATATCAATTTGCTTCAACTACATTGGTTAAAGAAAGTAGAAAAAAAAGAATATACAATAACAAACAAAGGACATATACATATATACATTTACTGAATAGATATACAATAAGGACAAAACGTGATTAGGAATTAATGAAACAAAACTAAACAATCAATCAGCCAATTGACAAATTTACATACCTCACATATCAAAATTTTGTCTTCAATATGTTAGTATCTGAAAATTAGTAGTATTCACAAGAAAACCTTTTTTCACTAGTGAATACAATAACTTTGCATATATGGAAGATACTATTTTATAATACACACACACACACACACTACCATTTTCTTTTTTTTTTTTACCAAAAAGTGTAATCCAACAAATATCTTTTGTAAATCGATTAACAAGATTTCGTTTGTGTTCTGTGGTCGATGAATCGATTAGACAACATGGTGATCAAGTTTCTATTTCTTTTTTTTTCACCTTATTTAATGCAATGACTAAAAAGGGTAAGAATAGACTGATACTATTTCATAACAAATCAGGGAATTCGTCTTTGTCATAAGTAAATATTCATTTTCTGAATTATAAACAAGATATCCATAATAAAAGTAATGATGATTAGTAGAATACTGAATTTCTTATATTTTATGACCTAATATATGAGCTGTCCCTTCAAATAAATAAATCAATGAATAGCAGATGTAAACAGAAATTTTGTCTTCACTTCATCTCATAAATAACCCAAATTAGGTAAAGTTACATAGTCAGTTACATCATCAAAACTATCTTTAGGCAATAGTATGTATAATCAATAATAATAGTAGACATATTTTACATAAGTAAAGTATATTTAAGTATTTACAATATGAGTGAAAATTAAATTTTCCATTAGGATTTAGCTAATCGGATTGGACAATTATGATAATAACCATTACTCAATGATTAATCAACAAATATCTTAGTCCGATAAAAAGTCGACCGTGATCTGAAAAGGTTAGTAGTAACGTCTTAGACTGTAGAATTGGATAACCTGGAGTTTGAATCCAAAAAAAAGAGACATCATTCCCTTGGAGACTGTATGTAGTTCTTGCTAACAAGAATAATAAGAAAATATGATATCTAGGTTCAAGATTTCATTTTAACTATTTTCAATCGCCTAACACTTTGTTCATCCTAATCATCAAATATTTAAAAAAACTGTTCAAAGATGAATACATAGATATGTAACTAGTAAATGAGGTACATTTCTATTTATTGTATATATTCGGGCAGTTTGTACAACAATCTTAACTCATACTAATAAATGATATAAATCTTTGTGAGTATATAAAAATCTACATAATAACTAGACTATTGAAAATTTCACTATATATGGACCCAAAAAGTACATTGTTAATATGGGAATTTAGGCGAATGCTTAAATGATATAACGTTCCAATTAAAAAGTCAATACTTAATGTACGTATGTATAGAAGCTTCCAAGTATTTTTACTAAAGTTATACAGCTGATAAATCATTATTGATATACTCTGGTCTACTTTTTAGTACATTGATGATATTTCAGATTAATTTGCATAAAATACAACAACCATTTTTTTATTTATTTACAAGAGTGATTTATTCATGTTTATTCTTAGACAAATTAGAAAATGTAAACTTTATTGTTTTCAGTCAATGAATCTAATAGAAACTTTATGTTTTACATTTGTAAAATTAGTCGGTAGCAAAGTGATTAGTGTATACACTTCATATCTTTCATTCAACCAAATAATTCTTTCTTCCTGTACTATATCCTTATACAAAATTTATCTTTTATATATTACCATCTCTGAATTAACTACTTTTATGAATCCGGTGTCCATCTTGTTGTGTTAATGAGATATGGCAACTTGGACCGATGCATATATGTGCCTGGTCCTACGTTGTAGCTGACTGACTGACTGAATAGAGCTGACTAACTAATTTAAGAAATTTGGGCAAAACAATCAAACTATTGATTGTGTTGTTTTAACTTGAGGATTTCAGGTGAAAACATATGAGAATAGATAGGATGTAGCATGAAAATAGATTTACAATATATTGAATAACTACTTATCTGATACTTTTTTCTTTCTTTTCATAGCAAAAATATATCCCACAGATTTGTTTCACAAGTAAACATGAATTTTGTTTTTAAAAAAGTGACAGAATAATAGAAGTTTTTATGTAAGAATTATTACGGAACAGAGGAATTTCGTCAAAGTTAAACTGATGCTCATTCTATTAGAATTGTAGTCAATAAAATAAAATTGTGTGTTTTGCTCTAAAAACAATACTGTTATTTACTAGTCTCTTATTATTATAGGCATACTGAACTAATGAAGTTGGACTTCCATAGGATTCGATCTGCACTAATAAGGACTAGACAAGCATGAGATTGATCACCACCCAGTGATCAATCAATTGTGATTACATCTCAGTCTTACAGGAGGTCAGTTGCGGCTCGAAGAGCTCAGTGGTAACGTCTCTGACGGTGAACCTGGGTGACACGAGATCAAATCCGCCAGGGAGCACCAGTTCCCTCAAGATTACAGGTACACCTTGCTGACGAGTGCCAAGTAGCACGAAACCCGGGTCCAGGGTTTCCTGTTGACTACCTCCAACC